ATAACACCGTGATTCTGAAGTGAAGGGGGCAGTATCATTCGGCGTGAGATAAAAACGTCCGAATGCGTAAAGATCGCTCTCCATTTAATAACCGAAATTATATTTTGATCAACAGTTTATTAGTATACAACAGAGAGCTGCAACAGTTATGAAAAATCACGTATTCCGAATAAACCTGTCGTTTTTACCATCGAAAAAAACGATTTACTGTTGATTTATTGACATAAAAATGGGTCTAGACTCTCGTGCTTGAGCAATAATTGGCCACCATTAATAATCAGAGCCAGGAGGCCGAGCCTAATACTACAGCGCTGCACACAGGCCTGTGCAAATCGTTTGGCTCAACCTGAGGCCCTTTAGGCCACTAAATCCAAACAGCTCATCTGATCGTTTTAAACCTGTTTTAAGTCGTTTTTGGTACATTCAAAGTGGAAGTGTAGGCTTTAGGTTTTTAATGTGTATATCGCACATGTGTAGAATTCATTCCATTCTTTAAGGAAATTCGTTTAGTGAATGACACTGACAGAAAAAAAAATTCCAAAAAAGAGAGAAAAAAGACAGATTTAAATAGCTCTACATACTATTATCATGCTGACTTTCCGACCAAGTCAGTGATGAAATGGGACATAATGTTATCAATGTAGTCTTTTCTGTGTGTTGCTAATACCACACATAACGATCATACCGCGTTTTGTCAGTTTTCAACCAGTGAATCATTAAGTTGATCTTGAACACTTCAGTGGATGTAAGCAATCATTACATCATTTAATCCGAATTCTGTCGGAAAATACAAAAAGAAAGGTTATGCAGTGATTTGTGTTAAATAGTGATAAATAAATGCTGATGTAAAAATTACCGAACAATTTGTCTTCTTTGTATCCGCCTCAGAAAATGTTTGTGTGGAGAGCGAAAGGGTTTGTTTCATTAGTAGATTCTGAAAGGTGAGTGGACTAATTTCTGCTTCTTATTTAACAAAAATAAATGTAAACATACGTTTAAAAATATTAAAATTAATCCAAGAAGCACTGTGGCCTAAAAATGTATTCATTGTTTAATGGTAGAATCATGCGTTTGAGGTTTATAAAACGGATTCTAATAGGAAAAGAAGGTGAACCAGGCTTCATATAATTTATTTTCATTTGTCAAACCACGTGTTTCCGTCTGGAAGGAGGAACTTTTAACCTAAGCCGAGGCCTCCGTGATGGAGCAGGCGAACCACGAAGTGTCCGTGAAAATGTCCGGACTTCACCGTGAACATACTGGAGGCCTGAAGGCACTGAAGGTGAACATGTATCGCCTCACTCAGGCAGTGGTGTAAACACACTGTTTATTTAATCACACACAGCTGAAGCAAGATATTAGAAAAATAAGAAAAAGTAAATTAAGACAGGAAACAAAAGCTTTAATCGGTGTAAAAAATCATAATAATAATTATAAGCTGCACACATTAATAATTTGAAGCGCATTAATAAGTTAAAGGTTGTCAGGTATTGATCCTAAAAGTCTTCAGACGTCTGCCTGGGACGTATTTGATGGATTGTGGCCATTCATCTGCAGAGGAGGAGGATGGCTCCGACGCTCCGACGCCCCATTTACATCATGGCGTTTTAATCTCCGGGTCCAAAGCGTCGTAGTAGACGTGACGTGGAGCAGTGAGATTTCAGGAGCCATCCACACACAAGGCCGCAAACCAAAAAGACCACAGCTGTGATGCAGACAGCGACCAGAGTTCGTCCGTTTGCTTCTGAAGTCGTCTGTGTTGGCTGCAGAGGATACAAGAGCAGAAATGCGATCAGATTCAGACGCAGGAACTTTACATGAAGCTGTTTCAGGTCTGATAGCCGTAATTATGTTATCTATTCAATCGGGGGGCACCACATTGCTCTTTATGTGGTGTCTTAATACTGAATCTCTTCCTGTGGCAGGCTAAATATGTGTCAGTAGTGATGTCATATGACATGTTGCAAAAATGGGTTGCATTTATGTTACTGGTATACATTTTTACATAATATAAAGTATCATATCGCATTATCTGTTATATAGCGACATGCATTTATGTTCATTAGCGCACAGAACTGTGAGACAAGCCGAGAAAAGTCTCAGAGTGTGGGGCTCCAATGATAATGACCTCACCAATCGCCAGCAAAGCGCAGTACATGTACATTAATGCAAATATGTATGACAACTGGAAACAACAAACTTGTTTTATTGATTGAGACAAATAAGACGCTCTGCAGTGTCATCAGACTATGAAAGCACGCGAAGAGGAAATACGAGCTGATTCAAGAGTAAACAAATGAGTCAAAGCCTCGATAGCTTCGCCTCACTTGACAGAACTGTGACTGACGTGGACAAGAAGACTGATGTGATGGTGACTGTTACTGATGCGGTTTCACGAAGGAGATGCAGTTAGTAAAAACGACCGAACATCCCTGATATATCTGTCAGTTTTATTCTGTCACAATATTGCGCAGCTACAAGGTTAAGTTCTTGTATTTATTGTCAAACTAAAGTGTAAAGCAGTTGTGTTATCCAGGGACAACTCTACCAAGGTTAAGCTACTGTTGTTTTATAATGTAGCTGCTGGGATCTTGTTTTACTTTTTCAACACTTTGATTTTGTTTGTTTACTCTTTACATATCACCATAAATAGCAGTATTGTAAATTTCCCTGATATGATTTTGAGGTTGCATCCACACCTGAGGGAGCAGCTTCAGCACCAGTTGGGCTAGCACTAAATTAAGAGACACTCAGCTGTTGTGTGCAGATTTGAAAATGAATATGCGCCACTGGCCTGATGGGACTGCTCCACCGTCCTGCACTTAAAGGATATATTAGTTTTAACTGAAGATTAGGTGCTCTGTGAGGCACGAAAATGCTGTTTAACAATATTTGACATGGTTTTAACATGTTTATAATGCCTGTCTTTCATGGAACAGGGTTGAAAATCAGTGTTTTTGTGTTTACTCGGAAAAACAAGGAGTTGTGGATGGACTGTGAAAATAAAAGACAGACGTAGTTCTATAAATAAATAAAGGAACAGAAATTTACCATGAATTTGTCTTCCTCTAATAATGTGGGTAACAGGGTTGCACTGGTTTCTGACACACTAAGACTTTTCAGAAATATTACACTATGTTTGACTCATAGTGTCAGCGTGGGACTCCATCCTTTCACTTCCTCTTCCTATGTCTCAGAACGTGTTGGTCTGTCTCACCCTGTTGTAGGCTGAATGTGTTTCACGAACAGTGTTCTGTTATTTAATATATGCTGAAATCAACATATATTAAATAACAGAAATAAGTAAATTGGTTTAACAATTATAAAAGATGAGCAACAGCAGAATAATTTTTTAAGTATTTATAATTTTATTTGCGGATACAAGCGGCGGAAATGAGCTTCCTCCGAAGGGTGGCTGGCCTCTCCCTTAGAGATAGGGTGAGAAGTTCGGCCATCCGGGAGGGGCTCAGAGTAGAGCCGCTGCTGCTCCACATCGAAAGGAGCCAGCTGAGGTGGTTCGGGCATCTGACAAGGATGCCCCCTGGGCGCCTCCTGGGTGAGGTGTTCCAGGCATGTCACACCGGGAGAAGGCCCCGGGGCAGACCCAGGACACGCTGGAGAGATTATATCTCTCGGCTGGCCTGGGAACGCCTTGGTGTTCCCCCGGACGAGCTGGAGGAGGTGGCTGGGGAGAGGGAGGTCTGGGCCTCTCTGCTTAGGCTGCTGCCCCCGCGACCCGGCCCCGGATAAAGCGGATGAAGATGGATGGATGGATGGATGGATAATTTTATTTGACTATTATCAGAAGTTGGAACAGGATAAAAATCCCATTCTCAAGAGCAGTTTGATTTCAGTTTGCTTTGTTGATCAAAATCTGATTATCTGCCCTCGTCAGTGCCTCCTCCCTCCTCCTCCTCTTTGCTGTTGCAGAGTTCTCCATAACCACTGCTGATGGATCTCAAATTTGTGTCTTCTCCACATTGTGATCGTTCCCCACCAACACTTGTGTGTACACTGTCTGAATTTATCAGGCATCAGATATCAGAGGATCCAAAAGGCTGATGTAAAGAAGAACATGGTCCATGTCCAGCGAGGACAAGAAGACATGACAGAAATGTTGGTCACTGCAGTTTGTAAGTTTTAACTGGATATCCCATTCACATCTGTCTGTGGCTAATAAAAAACTAAAACTGTATACTGCTGGATCCTTTTGGGACTGACCCCAAATCTTACTTTGTCAAGCAAATAAGAGTTAAAATAAGTCAGCGTCTCTGCCAAAAAATAAAAAAATTAAAAAAATCCCTTCATGGAAAGATCTGTGGCTGACCACACAAGTGCCCACCAAGTCAGCACTGAAGACGTGGTCTGACTGCGTCTGGGTCAGAAAAGTAAGCTGCTCCTTTGAAATGAAGCGAAAGTCACTCGTGTTCACGGCAGTAAGGCTTTGTATATAAAGCTACATCGAGATGTTTGCTGTAAACCACTTCGCCGTGAAAGTGTGACCAGTAGAAATTAAATCCGAATGCGCAACAGAAAGACGCAGGAGAGGAGCAAACAACACCAATCACGCTGTTTTGTAGCTTTGGAGTCACGTGTAAAAATAAAGAAAACACACGTAAAGTCAATGTACTCACCATCAGTGTAGGCTTTAGCGTGCTGGTCAGGGATTCAGGGACGATCTCCGAACTCGCAGGCGCACAGCTGAGCGGTGTCGCTCCGTCTTGTCCAAGTCACAGAAATAAACGCCTTGATCCCGCAGCTGAACTCGCTTTATGCGGAGGGACAGGTCTGCCCTTTGGTACCAGTCTGATGATATTGATACCCGGCTTTCAAAGCCATTCCCATAAGTAACCTGGGGAGGATTCAGCTCCAGCACCACCTCTCCGTCTCGCCTCCAGCACGCAGACTTCACCCTCTGACCTGCTGTGATGGAGCGGCACGGCAGTGCGGCATCCTCACCCTCATCTACAGCAACTTCAGAGGGCAGGAATACTTGCAGATCAGTGAGCTCTACCTTCCCTTTCTTCTTGCATGTAAAGTCATACATGCCCTGGTCATTTAAATCTACACTTGTCAATGTTAAACAATCGCTGCTTACAGTCACCCGGCCAATGTAAGCTCGCCCCGCCTCCCAGTCACCATGAAGAGACGCCACCGCCTGAATGCTACCGTCCTTCAGGTGTAGATTCAGTGCCCCGTGTCCCTCCATGCACTCCTCTGAGAGGGGAAATTTAACATCATCCCCTACACTCGCCCGGATCAAGTCTCCAAAGACCTGGCTGATAAAAACTAGAAGAAAGGCTGCAGAGACCGGTAACCGCATCATGCTGTCAGTGTGGCGGTGAAGGCATTTGAATCGAGCTCAAAAATAAAACTTTATGAAGTTAATTATAATTTATTTGCCATAAAAACAAAGAATAAAGCAGCCCTGGCCAGGAGCAAAAATTAAACTGGAAAAGAAAAATCTTGCGGCGGGCAAATAAAAATATTAAACACCCCTGAAAGTCCCTTAAAATACTAGGACAAGCAGCGTCTTCACTCCCTCGCCTCGTTGCCGAAGTAATGGAAAGGGGAACCGCGGCTGTCACTTTTAAGTCTCAGAACTCAGCTGACACCAGCGTGGAGGTGTGACTGGTGCATGTTTGTATACAAATATACGTCATTCAAACTCCTCCAGTCCTGCTAAGGAGGAGGGTGTTGCATATTTATTACACATTTACATTTACTGATGGTCCGTATTAGTGTACCACAAACAATCGTAACGCATTTTAGAAATTCAATTTCATGAAAACATCAGCGATATTAGAGGGGAAGTTTACACACAATTTTTTAGTGAGGAGGCCCAGTAATTCATTTGCCGTAAAGAAAAGGAAATAGACGGCTGTCTGACGCCCGTCTATTTCCTGCTTTTCTTTTCTTTCTCGTCGTAGTGAGTTGATAACGGGGTAAGGGAGGAAGCTGAATAAAAGATAAATACAAATAAACGAATAATATAATCGGTCTGTAAAGTAAGCTAGTTAAAGACACGGGAAAGTTAGTAAGGAGCCTTTTTTTCACTCGGGGTTTAAGAGGACTCCAGCGGTACTTCAGGTAACCGTTTTAACTCAGCTAGCTGCTCGTTAGCCTCGCTGAGCTACAATGTTTACGGTTTCTCATGAACATCCAGCAAGTGTGAAATTGTTGATACGTCTCCCGGGTTATTGTAACTGCTCAGATGAGGTTCAGCTAATGGAAAACGGGACAACTGTATTAACTTGAGCAAAGGAAGGACACGGCTTAGCATGTTGGCCCTGCTAGCATGGTAAGTTGGTATAGCCTGCGCAGAGTACGAGTACAAATATATACGTTTTTCTTTGCAATTTTCTCTCCTATGTGCGACCAGAATTCAAGTTACATATATTTTGACCAGGAAAATCACAAATAGTGTTTGTGCTACATTGTAGTAATGAGTTATAAAGACCCAAAACACGCAACCGAAACAAAGTAGGGCGTGGCTGCAAAAGTATTCGCTTGTCTGCCTTCAGACGTGTGAACTTGAGTGACATCCAATCGCATCGATTTTTTTCCCCCTAATGAAGATGTTCTCTCACTGATCCACTTAGTGAATACACTGAGCTTCAGCTGGCAGACAGTCTGCTCTCCCTGAGCTGCTATATAAGCTATCAGTCAGCAGCTGCCTTAATTCATAGCCTGGATATAATACCTTGCTCTAGGAAACCCCTTTATCTGTGCAGAGTAGCATTAATACGCTTAAGGAATGTGCAGTTAAAGATGTCTTACAATATACGGTGGTCTAATGGTCCTGCAGATCTAGTAATACTTATAAATGCTCCTATTTTTCTTTTGTTGTTATTAAGCGTTATTTTTCATAAATAAAGTCCTGAATTGGCAGCAGCAGATGAGACTATCTGCTGAATACAAGTAAAATGGAAATAATTTTACATTGAACTTGTTCTTTTATTTAATTAAAATGAAATGTTTTTCAGACGTAATATTTAGTGTTGATTCCTCCATGTGTGAGTGAATTCAAGCGTTACATCAAAAAGCTGTCACATTGTGTCACATTAAGAGTTTTTCTTTTGGTATTTTTGGCTTCCTTTGGTAGACATTCTGACTGCAAAACCTCAAGTTCAGGACACATCTGTGGTTCGCACTGTTGTCTGTTGACTTGTGAAACTCAATGTGAAACAAACATTTTAGTACTCAGAGATAACATCACATTAATTCTTGCCCCAGCATAGAAGTCCCGAGTGACTGTTTGAAGTTTGAGGCTTCACGGGTCCCTGAAGCTGAATGACTTGTTCGCTGAAGTAGCTTTGAGTGGTTAAAGTCATTCAATAGTAGATTAGCATTGGTTTTGTGTCATTAAGCCTCTGAATGAGTCCATTGAGCTTCAGCTGTCAGACGGCCAGCCTGTCAGTTGTCTGACAGTTTTGCTGTGAATGCAGTGGAAGTGAGTGTAGAGAGTGGCAGAGACCAGTTTCAGTTACATTCAAGCACTCATATTATCACTGAATGAACCAGTAACCCTTACCAGCAAAGTCCCAGATTCAGAGACCTAACTGGGGTGATCCTGACTGTAAAACTGCTGTAATGCCAGCAGTCATGCACAGATCTAATGATTTCTGCTCTTTCTTGTTACAGAGCGCACTAAGCATTTTACAGTCGTTTCTAATTCATTGAACCTTATCCCACACAACTATATTGTAATCCCCTCGGATTAGTCACTGAATAAACATGCTGTGGTAGCACACACGCACACTGCCACTAGAGGGCGTATCTCAGCTATAACTGAGAAGCTGTGGCTTTTCAGGATTACTTGTGTGCAGCTGCCAGTTATTTCACAGATCACAGATTAATGTGCAGTCAATTGACTTTATTGTCCTCAGGATTAGAAATGAGCATATCAGAGGAACAGCTCAGATCGGGCAGTAACCCAGAGACTGAGGTGGTGCGTGTCGTAGCAAAGTGCAAGGCTTTGCAAAACGACTACACTGACAAGAGTGAAAGGATAAAAACATATTTGCCCATTACTGACTGAGTGATTAAATGTTTCAATTCTAAACTCAGAGAAAATCAGATTATGTAAGAGGGAAGTTCTGTGTATCACATCTTCCCACTTGCAGATCCTGGAAACACTTCATTTGCTCGGCGCACTTCACAGTTATGACCAACACTGAGATTACTCAGCAGTTTCTGTTTTTAGACAGATTACTCTATTTGGAGTATTTAGGAAAGCTTTTCACGTTTGACCTCTTTGTTCATTAATGCAGGTACGCTGGATTCTTCTGATGGTGTCCAGCAGGCTGAAGATCGACATCTGGTAAGAAATCTTGTGCTTTCTGTCTTTTGATGAACTGCCCTTTTCTTCCTGTCAGTAAAATTTGTAATACAAAATCCAACATTGATCATAAAGGGTGTCAAGTAGGCTTCGTCTTTTTGGCTACTGATTGATTGCTCGGCGATTTAAATTTAGGGCGTTATAGCCTTAAAGTTTTATGAGGATATTTCAGATTTGTGATCTTATTTAAAACAATATAGAAAAAAATACTGAATAAAGTGTGTCGTTAAGTCAAGCAAATTAACAACACACTTCTTTGTTTGAAGTGTGCATTTGTTGGTTCACATATCACTGCCTGCTTGTTTCTCTTTACTCATGAGTTGTCACAGTCTGGTTGCTCTCAGCGGTGTGTTTGCCTCAGGCAGTGAAAACAAGTCTTGTTGTCTCCACAGTACTTTGCAAAATACCCAAATATGCAAATTATTGTTTTGTTGGAGGTCTGACCTCGTGTCACCAAAGGTATACTGTAGGTATAGTGGCATAGTGTCACATTAATCATTTATGATGAATGAAAGAATATGCCAAATCTGTGACTTTCTCTGAAAACCCAATAACTGCAGTCTGCTCTTCATGTTCACTTTACATTTCACCATATAAGCACAAACACCTTCTATAAACTACACACTAAACCAAAGTTAATCTACTATTGAATGACTTCAAACACTCAAAGCTACTTCAGTTGCACAAACTAGTGTGTGAATAACTCCCTGTGTAAACACCATCAACACTGATAAAAGAAGAAAACACAATGTGAGTGAAGTTGGCGCCCCCACCTTCTTCAAATCCAACAAAAGTGGTATCAAACGTTTGTGCTGCAAAAAATTTCATTTGTGCTGCTATCATTTTAAAGATATTAATAAAAATTTCTAGAGGTCATCAGAGGTCAACCAGCCCCCCCACATTAATTAAATCAAACCAAATGGTTGTCAATCAACTGTGCTACGTTTGTGCTGGTTTGTGCTGGTTTGTGCTGCTAAAATTGTTGTTTGTGTTGCTTCTGTTTTAAAGATATTAATGAAAATGTAAAGGTCAAAAGGTCAACCAGACCCCCCACATTACCCAAATCAAACAAAATTGATGTCAAACGTTTGTGCTGCAAAATTTTTTGTTTGTGCCGCTATGATTTTAAAGATATTAACAAAGATTTCTAGAGGTCAACAGAGGTCAACCAGCCCCCCCACATTAATGGAATCAAACAAAATTGATGTCAAATGCTTGTGCTGCTAACATTTTAAAGATTTTAATAAAATAACATCTTGATGCGTGCTTAATCATCCAGGTAAGTAAATTCCAAAAGGTTGATTCTGTTCATCTGGACATTTTTAGTGGGAGAAACGTTTCGTCACTCATCCAAGTGACTTCTTCAGTCTCAGCTGACTGCAGGTTTCCCCAAACTTATAAACAGTACATTTGGATAGTGAAGGAAACTAGCGCCACTGAATGAACAAAGTGCTGGGGGGTTAGTTCCATGATTGTTAGTAGGCAAATTCTTATGACCATTGATCAATGACAACTAATCAAAGCTTACCGATCAATGGCCATGAGTAGCATTCACAGAAAGTGCAGAATGGCTACAATCACAGCACTGTAAGATGGTGTGGTTCTTCTCGATTCAGAGATGGTCAGCATCCTGACAGCCCGATGGACGAAGCTGTCTCTCAGTCTGCGTGTTCTGGCCCGGAGGCTCTTCAGTATCCTTCCTGATGGCAGCAAACTGAAGACGCCGTTGAAGGGATGAGTGGAGTCACCTGTAATGGAGAGGACCTTCCAGATGAGGCAGGTGCAGTAGATCTCCTGGGGAGGGAGGCAAGAGAGGTCCCCACAATGCTCTCGGCTGCTCTCACTACCAGTTGTCACTTTTTTCCTGCAGAACCCAGTGCAGGAGTCATACCACACAGTGATGCAGCTGGTGAGGATACTCTCAACTGTGCCTCTGTAGCAGGTGCTCATAATGGGAGTTGAATCTCTTGTGTTTCTCAGTTTGCAGAGGAAGTAGAGTTGCTGTTGGTCTTCTACACATTCAGGGACAGGTTGTTGTTGCTGTACCACTCTGCCAGATGGTTAACTTCACCCCTGTAGTAGATCTCGTCGTTAGTCAGCAGAGTGAAGAGAAGGGGCTCAACACACATCCTTGGGGAGCCCCCATATTCAGTGTTCTTGGGCTGGAGGTGTTGCTGTCGACCCGTACTGTCTGCTGTCTTCCTGTCAAGAATTCTAGCAGCCCGTTATACAGCAAGGTGCTGATCCCCAGCAGATCCAGTTTTGAATGAGTTGCTGGGGAATGATGGTGTTGAATGCTGAACTGAAGTCTATGAACAGCACTCGGACATATGAGTCTCTAGTGTTCAGATGTGTGAGGGCTGAGTGAAGGGCAGTTGAAATTCCATCATCGGTTGAGCGTTTTGACCGGTATGCGAACTCAAATGGATCCAGGTTAGGGGAAAGTGATAATTTGATTTGATACATGACTAACCGTTCAAAGCACTTAACTTAATAATGATGGAGGTGAGTTTGACAGGACGGTAGTCCTTAAAGCAGGAGGTAGATGACTTCTTGGGTACAGTAATGATGGTGGAGGCTTTGAGGCATGTGGGAACAACAGCCTGACCCTAGTGATGTGTTAAAGATGTCTGTGAAGACATTTGTGAGTTCCACAGCATAGTCCGTCAGTGCTCGTCCAAGGATGTTATCAGGACCTGGAGCTTTGCGTGTACTGATTTTGGCAAGGGATCTCCACACACTGTCTGGGGATTGTGTCACCACGGTCTGTAGAGTGGGCTTGTAGTCTGTGATGGTTTGTATTCCTTGCCACTGCCTCCAAGTATCTCTGCTGTTGCTGAAGCTTTGCTGTAGCTGATGCCACGTGACAGGTTTGCCCTTGCTGTTCTTAGGCTCACCTAATTGGACTCTGAAGGCTTGCATTTTTCAACCTTAGGAGCATTTAAACCTGACCTGTGAGCCATGGTTTCTGATTGGCCCAGACAGTGATAGTCCTGGTCTCTGTGACATCATCGATGCATTTTGGGATGTAGGCAGTAACAGTTTCTGTATATTCCTGAAAGTCTGTGGTGTTGTCGTGTGTAGCAGCCTGTGGTGGAAAAGCAGTCTTGCAGTGCCTCTGAGGACCCTTCTGGCCACACCTGTACCTGCTTACGAACTGGTTTGGTGACTTTGACCAGGGGCCTGTGGGAACCCATGGCACACCTAGGTTTCTGCCTGTACTGACCCTTATGCAAAATAGGTGGAATTAAGACACAGTTCCAAAAGCAAACACAACTGATCAGTGCTGAGAGTGGTCCTGTTGCTGAGGTTGGGGTGATCCTGTAATCTCTTATGAACTACCTCCAACGCTTCTATGACTGGGATGCAAGTGAAGACAGATGTAACATCTCTCTCTC